TTGATTGTTGGTGCTACTGCTGTCAGGATCTTGGGGCACTCGGAAGCCTTGAAGACTGATCTGGTGCCCCTTGCCAAAATCGACTTCTGCGAGTACTATTCCTCTGACAAGGCACCGTCTTACCAACGCTCCTGGCATTGTTTGGTGCGTGCGCCGAATCCCTTGGTTTGCTCTCATGTCTCAGTCCCTTTTGTGACGTGTGGTTGCAAACACAACTGAGGTTTGACTTGGGGAGGCGCTGAGCGAAAGTGGGACATCGATATCAAAAAGCCGGGCACGAAGAAGACGGCGGTGCAGAAAGGATGGTCAGTGGACCGGGCAGTATGTGTCTTCAATGCACCGGAAGCCCACTAGCCCGCACTCCTGAAAGGTCCAAACTCTATGTTCACTTGAGTGTGTATGTGTCTGCGTGTTTCTGTTGATGGTCTGCGTTCAGCGTCAGCTAGAGTAGTCCATGCGTTGCTGCTGAGGTGCCAGCCATCTATGTTGCCATGCCACGCAAGATCAGCCTAGCCGACTACCAACGGGATGAGGCCAAAGTATCGAAAGATGCTTCGACCAAGGGAGACTGCGCCCGCATGAGAGAGCTGGGCACAAAGATCGCCAAAAACATACTTGGAGATGGCGGTGCTTTGGCAAGCGCTAGTTGTGAGTTAGGAGGTTTGCGAATTTGCGAGCAATGAATACGAGGTTTGGCGGTCAGCTTCGACTTCGACTTCTTGGAGCAGAGCCACGGCCGCGGCTCGTCCTCGACATCCAGCTCTTCCAAGGCTACGTTCGCGAGCGCAGCAGCGACACAGGCGGCTCAGGCGGCCGAGAAGCGCAAAGCTGGCAAGAAATTTACCTGTGCCTTGTCGTGGAATGAGCCACAACCATTAATCTCCATGAAAGGAAACAGTCATCGGGCGGCCATGGCCATGGTTTGTAATTTCTTGCAAACCACGTTTACCGATCGATAGGGGAAACCCAACACCCATACCCCCTAAGATGCGGCCCCTTCTGGGAATAAGAATTTGGGCACGAGCTTCTAAGTTGCAAGCCAGATTTTTTGAGGCGTCATCGCTGCTTC